TCTACATAGTCAATACGGCCAACCCTGTCTACCGGCTTTCCACTCTTGAAATCCACCTACCCATCAGGCAAGGAAGACGTGACTATGGTGACAGAGCTGATTGTCCATGTTTTCACTTCTGATCTAAAGGAAAGACACAAATAGCAGATAATGAGACGTGGACAGGAGAGGTGGAAAGACAGGAACTGTGCTAATAACTTCATCTGACGTAGTGGGGAGCCCAAAAACACTGTGTGGGTGGAAAAAGAAATGGAGGGTTAAATATGTCATATACTTGTACAGAGGGAACAGTAAAAGAAACAAATTATAAATCGGAAAGTTGGGGGCAGGGCATCGGGAAGGCAAGTCCTCATATTCATTGAAGGCGAGTCGATAGACAATGCTGGATTGTCTAAGTGTTTTTAAAATTAGGAAATTGTTTTTTAAACATTCTGCATAAGTTTTCAAAAAGGCAGAAAGAAAATAGTGATCTCTGGCAAGTGGCATGAGTGTAGTGTGAGTACTTAGGTTTCTCTATGTATAAACCCTCATACTTTGGAATTCTTTAAAACCTTCTGCACATGATACTTCAACTTCAAAACTGAAAGGGGAAGTGCATTTTAAAAAGCACACGTGTTTAAAAGTTGAGTTCAAAGCAAAGACAGGTGCCAGGACCCCAGACACTCATTCTGCAGTGGCAATCGCTATTGTTATTCCCTCAGAAACGCACATTTCCCAGGCCCTTCTTTAAATGGTAATAGAAGCTGAGCAGGTCTCTTGTTGAGAGATTTACAGATTTAGCATTGGATGTGGGCAACACTAAGAGCAGGATAACATATTTTCATTGCCCTTACTGTTGGCTACAAGGTAAGTAGCCACTTAGATAATAATGAGACACTGCCTAGAAGTAAGAAATGCTTCTTTATCACGGACCTGGTTTCTTGTACCAAGTTCTATTTGTTGTCTGAATCCTTTTTTTTCCCCCCAAAGGAAGTCCCTCTTATTTGCCCTGGCCCCGTCCACATGGCAAAGCTGGGTTTAAAGGAGGAAGAGGGGTTCAAGGGGTAACAAGTAGCTTGGACCCTGTAGCCTGGTGTCCTAGGTTGTGCAGTGAATAGTACATTTCCCGTCATCTTCCTGACTCTCAGTCAAATTTCTTAGTCAAAGGGAAAGGGGCAGTGTCATCTTTGCCAAGAAAGTTAGTTGCCCTTAGTAGGCTCTCAAGTTGCTGAAAGAATGAAATTCACAGCAAGACACAGGAGAGCATCCACAATGCGACCCCAGCTAGCTTCTTCTCCCCTTCTGTGTCCCCATTGTGGGGACATGTGCCTGCCGTCTGTTTCTGGAGGGAGACATGCTCCTTCGTGCTGCTGTGCCTTTGTATATCCTGATTCCTCTGCCTGGGATGCCTTCCTCCCCTTTTCATGGGGATATCCTCCAGAGTCATCCTCTTTAAAGGAGCCTCCCCCAGTGCGGGTTTCCCAGGCTCCAGAGGCAGGGAGGACTTTGTGTTCAAAGTTCATCCATGCTGCCACATGTCTCAGAATTCCATATTTTTTGAGACTGATAGAGACTTTTAATACAATTTTCACGACAAACAAAATTAACAGTAATTTCACCGCACCATGTGATTAGCCAGTCTTCATTTGTGTCTCCAAAATTGCCTAAATGTCATTGTACGGTTAGTTTGACTGAATCGGGAGCCAAACAAGGCCCGCGTGTTACATTCAGTTGATGTCTCTTAAGTCTCCTTTATGATAATTCCTTCTCCTTTGTTTTTTCATGCTATTTATTTGTTGGGAAAAAAAATAAAATCACTTGTCCCACAGAATTTCCCCCATTCTGGATTGGGCTGACTGCATCCTCATAGCATTACTTCATCATTTCCACTAGGCCCTAAATACCCTGGAAACTAATGGGCAGATTTGGGGGCGTTCTAAAATTCAGTTCCCTTGGTGAGCAGTGTGCTTCTTGAAGTCTGCTGGCCCCACTTCCGGAGATCTTCAGATGGGCCGGCGGGCTCCCGCCTGACCTCTCCATTGACAGTGTGGCATCTTGCAGTAAGTGCTCTTAAGTCTTTGTGAGCGATCTTAAGCATGAGTCTGTCTCTCTGTGTATGTTTGTATAGTCACCAGGCTCAGTCCTAGAACTGTCCTCAGTTGTCCTGTAGATCCTCACAGCTCCCACTGTCCCTGCTCAATCCGCAATGCTGAAAGCCACTCCCAGGATTCTGAAGCTCTCAGGTCTCACCGGGATAGCTCCCTACTTCCAGTTAGTCTTTCAGTTGCCTACCAGTGGGTACCCACTCAGAGCCACAGGGATCTCCTTGAAAGGAATCCTCACCCACCTGCCTTGATGGCCAGGCTCTCACAGAGAGTACGTCTTCCTCCTGTCTAGTCTCGCCCGCTTCCTGGAGTTGAATTCCATCTCCTTTACTTTTGGGGTGGGTGGGGCTGAGGAGCAGCTGGCCAGCAGACCCTGCACATGGGCCTGGGGAAATGATCCAGGAGGCTCAGGCACTTCCCAGGGAGCCCACTTGCGTCATGGACCTAACGAATGATTGGAAAGGACTAGAATATGTCTTACTATAGCTTCCCAGCCTGGGTTTGTTGTTCTCCTTTCACAGTTAAATACAGACAAGTTATTTTTTTGAAAGTAAATATTCAGAGAATATGAACAAAAAAGCCACAAAACCTGATGATTTTTCCAAAGTTCAGAGTTGAAACTGTGCCTTTTTTGTAGCCTTTAAATATTAGCAGAGACTGAAAAGTGACAAACTTCGAAAGTCAGGCCACCTCTTACACATCAGGCCTCACTTGGGAGGAAGGGCAGAGGAACGAGGGCGGGGAAGACAGACAAGACGCGACAGGAGGGAGGAGAGCTGGGGATAAACTGCACGAGCCAGAATGCTACGCTCTAGAGCAGCTATCGATTAGCATAAAATATAAGCCACGGATCTGAGATACGTATATAATTTTTAATTTTCTAGTAACCCCATTAACAAAAATAAACAGAAACAAGTGAAATTCATTTTTAAAATGTAGTCTATTTAACCCAAGATATTCAAAATATCATTCCAACATGTAATTCGTATAAAATTAACGTGTTATTTTACATTCCTTTTTTTGTATTCAGTCTTCCGAATCTGGTGGGTATTTTGCACATGCAGCCCACGCCAGTGTGGATTAGCCACCACAGTGGGCAGCTATCCCACTGCAGGGCATTGCTCTAGGTCTCGACAAAGCTGCTTGGCCTCTTCTCAGCTTCTGGTCAGTGAAGTGGCAGTAACCCTCCCTGCCCTGATTCCATTTCAAGGTTGTGTGGAGTGCACAGGAGCTAGTGGGTGTGAATGTGCTTCCCCCCACCCCGAAGCCCCTCACAGGCCCCCACTCAGGAGAAAGAAGAGAGTATTGCCAGCACCCATGAACTGAATTAGCCTATCGGTCTACTGCCCAGCCACCTGGACTTAGCATGTTCCAAACTGAATGGAAGGGTGGCCGGGGTTCACAGTCATCTTCATTTTACATAGTAGTTAAATTTCACAGCAAAAATTCCAGTAATGGAGGTGAGGTTGTCTACTGTTGTTCTGCAATCTATTATGACGATGATTTTATTTATTTAAAAGAATGGAGGGGTGTTTTTAATACCATCCCAAGCACTAGGGATAGTAAGATGAGCAAACCAAAGGCCTCACAGAACATCGGGGGACACACAGAAAAACAGATGTGATTCCCCTTGGACACTTGCTTGCAAGTGCCAGAAAACCTGGTCAGAGCTGTGTAAGCAAAAGTAGGGACTCACATAACCGAAAAACCGCACAGTAAATGTGCCTCTGTCTCTAATCTCCAGCTCCATGTGGCAACCCCAGCAGCCTCTGTCTCACAGCCCTACATGTTCAAGTCCCACAGAGAAGCAAGAGAGAGCTGGTCTCCAGCAGCCACAGCCAGATGCCCCCAGCCGTTGGTTGGCTCTGACTGGGTCCCAAGCCCATTCCTGGACTAATCACCGTGACTCATGGCACGGGTTTGCTCCAACTGGGCCAGGGCCAGGAAGATGAGGGCAATGGCTTTCCCAGAGGAAAATGGGAACTGTTACCTGAGTCAGGGTGGAGAGATGCTGAACAGCCAAGAAGCAATATCCACTAAGAATTATGGGAACACAGAAAAGGTGTGACCAGTGCAGTCTAGCTCTTAAAAGGTCCCACACTTGGTTTAATCCTCTGCTGTCACCAGCTTGAAATTCTTAACAATGGTCAGACAATGATCCACACTTTCATTTAAAGTACAAATGGCATAGCTAATCCTGGGTGCGACTAACATTACATTATATACTTGAAGAAGTGACTGTGGAAGTGAATTTTGAAGGAGAAAATAGCAGTTTTCCAAATGGAGAGGGCTGGGGGGGCGGGGGGCGAGGAGGAGGAAATTCCAGGTAGAGGGGTCAGTGTAGACCATGCAACCAGGCGAAAGCTGCAAGAGAAACTGAAACCACTAGCGCCTCAAGTGGCTGGAGTTTAAAGTGCCAGTGGGGCGTGGCCCCAGCTGAGTTGGAAAGACTGGGACCGAGAGGGACCTGTTGTGTCACGCCAGGAGGCGGGCACTCAGTAAATACTTTTTGAATGAATTAATAAATAAAAGTCAAGTGAGTCACAACATTAGAAGGGATTACTTATTTTTAAACTTATATTATTCCAAATGACGATTACAAAACAACTGCCCCGTTTCCCACCTCACTTTTCCACAGCAGACGGAGGCTAACTTTTCACTGTGCGGTATTAGCGTCCCCTGATCTTTATTATCAGCATGGAGCGAAGTTAACATTCCACCTCTCTGACTTCACCATCCAAATATTTATGAATCAGAGCGATGTTTCTAAGAACCTGTTTTCTGATTGTTTACTTTATAGCAATAATAGTGCGCTTTAATTACAAAGATGACGTCTTAAAACTGAAATAGAACAAGCCTCAATTGTGTGGGAGTTCATTGCTTTGGTGATAAAAGAGAAACACAGACGGTGACTCAGGTGGAACGTTGTTTCGTTTTCATTTTGTGTTTTCTTTGGTCCAACGTGTCAGGATATGTCACGGAGCCAATGCAGAACCATGCTGGGGAATTTGAAAGTTAAAATTAAGGCTCTGCATGTCAGAAGAAAAGTACACAGTCCCTACTCACCAAGCCTCTCCCTCTCCAAGGCCAACATGAAAGAGAAAAAAAAATTGGTGGCTTTCCTTCAGCATGCGGGTGATGAGCTGGAAACAGCCCATATTTTGCACCATATTTTGAAGACATTAATACCGGTTCTTCTGAATTGAGCATCTCTTTGGGTTTCCATCACAGCCTTGTTTCAATTTAAATTAAACACGAGAGGAGAAATTTGTGTTTGGGTATCTGCTAAGCACTGGGTGTGAAGCCTTTGTCTGCCTTGTTCGTTCTCGTGTTCCCAGCATCTTGAACAATGCCGGGCATGGGACAGGTGCTCAATAAATTATTTGATGAATAAGTAAATGAATTTATCCCTCAGGGCAGCCCCATGTGGCTGTGGGGACTTTGCAGTCGGGAAACCGAGACTAAGACTCTGTGCTGACATCGAGGCAAGTGACAGGACACCCTGCCAAGCATGTCCCAGACGGACAGAAATGACCTGGGGCCACCTCCATGACTAGCTTTTGTGTGACTAGGTACATGTATTTTCTGTGGAAACCTTGTTCCACAGGGAGTGATGTTGAGAGAAAGAGGGCACTGAAAGTGTAACAACTCCACCATGCCCAGCATCTTCACGATCATCAGTGACTGTAGACAGAGCTGGAAATCATAGAACTGAAGAACTGTAAGGACTTTCAAGATGTACAATATGGAGGTGCTTCCGTTTGTGGGTAACTTGTTCCATTCTGGAGTAAGTTATACACACACATACACACACAACCTCCCCTCCCCCCCCAGATCATCAGCCCTGCAAGAAGGAAAGTGAACCCAAGGCTCATGTCATTTCCGCTCTTAATTCTAGATGAACCCACTTTGGCTTTCTTTCTGTTTCACTGATGTCAGTCAAGGCTAGGTTTAGCAGGACAAACATTCTCTGAGCTGACTGGAGGTGGATTGGCCATCCCATTTCCCACCTTAGGAATTATTTTATCCTTCCTGCATCTTATCTCAGTTCTGGGCTCTTGGCGGACATTCCGTAAGTGCCTGACACAGATAAGCCAGGATTTGATTGGGATGGAATCTCAGTCCTTAGTCTGCCTCGGTGGCAGGACCAGAAACAGTCGGGAACTACCCCCTTTCAAAGGCATCAGATAATATTAGTCCTAACTCCACTCTAATATAAAGTGCACATTTTCATCTTTTAAGAATTAACCCACCCCTATTAAATTCAGAAATATAAATAGAGGAAGAAAATATCACCCATCCATATTTCTGCCATCCAGACTGAAACACTTCGAATATTTTATGGCAATTTTTCTGTTTCGTATTTGTTTATTTATGGGTTTTTACTGAGTTGTGATTGTTCTGCATTTACAATACATGTGTCTTGCTTTTTAAAGTTATCCCCACAGCATGCCCTAAGTTACAAATTCTCTGCTGACATCTTTTTAAATAGTGGCATGAAAAAAAGAGACTCTCGTGTCCTTGGTCAGTTGTCCAGGATGCCTGGGTGAGGGTCACTGCCTTCTCCGAGTCCTTGGTGGCTATTCCAGCGGTCATCAACCACTTTATCAGCAAGCTACCCGAGATCAACACTGTTATTTCTTATTAAGACTAACTTTTGTAAAGAACAGTGTTAGGTTCACAGCAGAATTCAGAGGAAGATACAATATGTAGCCTTTTCGGATTGGCTCCTTTCACTTACTGATACGCATTTAAGTATCCTCCATGCCTTTTCATGGCTTCATAGCCCATTTCTTTTTAGCACTGAATAATAGTCCATTGTCTGAATGTACCACAGTTAATCTATCCACTCATCTACTGAAGGACACCTTGATTACTTCCTGCTATAAATAAACGTGTGCAGGATTTTGTGCGGACATGTTTTTAATTCCTTTACGTAAATACCAAGGGGCGTGCTTGCTGGATTGTATGGCAACAGTGTGCTTAGTTTTTAAAGCAGCCGCCAAACTATCTTGCAAGGTGGCTGCACCGTTTTCGCTTTCCCAGCAGCAATGAATGAGGGCTCCTGCTGTTCCTCGTCCTCCCAGCACTGGGTGGTGTCCGCGTTCTGGGTTCTGGCTGTTCTGTCAGGTGTGTAGTTGTGCCTCACTGACGTTCTGATTTGCATTTCTGTGATGCCACGTGGTGTGGAGCATCTTTTCACAGGCTTATACGCCATGTGTATATCTGCTGCGGCAAGATGTCTGTTAATGTTTTTGGACCGTACTTTTACATTGAGTTGTTTTCCTATGGTTGAGTTAGGGTCAATATGGGTGTCAAAAGCCCGCCGAGGCAAATCACAGGTGAGAGCTGGGCACCGGCCGGGACAGATTTAGGTGGCACTTGGTTATTAACAGTAAGTTTCCAATGATCTAGAACAGACTGCATTGAGTCCTAGGGACCAGCCTGGCTACCCTTCCTCCTTCTCTGCCTTCTCGCTTCTGAGTCTTTCTGTTACTTTGATGTTACCAACATGCTGATGCCCAGAGGCCACTCTCCTCTTTGACACCCCACTGCTAAGCACTGTGTTTGTCCCCACATGAACCCATTAGCCTGTTCCAGCCCCTGCTCCCTATCAGACCAATTAGCCCCCACCCCACTCTGCTCCCAACTCCGCTCTGTAACACCTTGAGAGATAGAGGACCCTTACCCTCTATGTCTGTCCTGACACCAAGCTCCCGCCAAAATTTAAAGGTGGCCGCCTGGAACTTTCCCCAAATCGCCCCTCCCTGTTCACCCCGTCGCCCGCTCCTCAGGGCCGGCAGCACTGCCTCCCTCCCAGGGTCTGATGGTACCAGCAACTGATGGTACTTACTTCCCTCACTGGCAAAGTGGGCACAGCATCCCCACCCCCACTCCCCCCAAAATGAGAGAAGCTCAGCTGTAATGATGGAATCTTGAGTTTTGCAATGACAAAATCTAGGGGAAAAGTTATTTTACTTTCCATGCATCAGAGCATTGTTTTGAGGGTCATTTTTGTTTAGACTGAATGACATATGAGGCTGGACCACCATCTTCTCAGTTCATCTGGCCTTTGATCGCCTCCCCGGACCAGTGTGGCAGCTTCCCGGTGCCTCTGCCGACGTCCTCCTCTCCCATGCAGTCCACCCTCGGTCCCGCACCAGCAACCTCCCTAAACATCCACGTGTCCATCTGCTGGCCAAGACCTTGTGACCCACCTCTTCCCTTTGTGCCTGATTACTCCAACCTTTAAGGCCTATGGCAGTCTGTTCCCTATCCCCGCTCCACCCTCCTGGCCACTACTGTTGACTCCCTAACTTCCCCTCCCCTTTATTCCATTACCTCCCCTCCCCTCCACACATACTCCCCTCCACACATACTCCTGCTCAGCAGCTGCCTCACTGTTCCGCAAATCTGCTATAGGTTTTCACAATTCTATATTTTACTCATTGCCTGCACATTTACTATGGACCTAGCATATACCTGGAATGGTGCAAGGAGCTGGGAATAAAATAGAGAATACCAGGGCACAGCCCCTCTCTTCCTGGCACCCACAGCCTCTGCATTTGCCTCTCTCTGTGCCTGGAATGCCTTCCCTCCTCTCCTTTCCAGAAAATGCTCAGCTTTCAACCTCCAGCTCAGAAGTCACTTTGTTCATCAGCCTTTGCCAGCAATCCTGGGCAGAGCCTTCCTACCCCACTTTAGCTTTTATTATATAAGCCTGTAACTATCTGTCGTCAAAGTCGGTCTCTCCATGAGTGGTGAGCACCTGCAGGACAGGGAAGCATCACTGTGTACCTGCAGCCCCTGACGTGGTACCTAGCTCATAGTAGGTGCTCATTAAATGTTTGCTGAGTAAATAAATATATGGTTAGCGAACACCTGCTATGTGCTGGACAGTGTTTCATGCATGTTACTTTTCTACCTAAAGTCCTCAAGGGCAAGGGGTGTTCTTAGATTGCCCTTGTAAGGACCCAGATGGCTAAACATGCTGCTGAGATCAGGATCTGGCGATAGGAACAGTATGAAGAATTGACTGACAGGTATAAACTCACAGTGACTCACTACACCCTCAGCCACTCCAGTTTCAAGTACAAGCTCATCATCAGATGATTCCAGTTCATCATATTTTGGGAAACAGTACAAACATCCAAAAAGCCCTACTCAGTTTACTCAGTCAATAGCAGGGCTCATGTTTGTGGTTAAAGCAAATTCTGGAATAATTGCAAATTTGGCAGATGGGATAACATTGCAGAGGGCGCAGGGATCTGGAATTTTTCAAGTGGGAATCTTCTGGGACTTCGAGAGTATGAATTATCTGGTAAGGTCAACTCTAGAAGGTTCTGTGCATTCCACCAGACCTTGGGAAAGCCGAGGTGCCCATTTTCAACAGGGATTGAGGGGGGCAAGGCTAAAAAGAAATAAACACATATAAAGCTCTCTAGGCTTTGGGGGACAGTACAACTTAATAGAAGTTTTGAAGTAAGCCAGACCTGGGTTTCAATCAAGTGACTATGAGCAATTTTCTTAGCCTTTCTGAGCTTTAGTTTACTCACCTGTGAACCTGAAATAATAATACCCACCTCATAGGGTTATTATAAGAATGAAATGAGATATTGGGTATTTTTAGAAGTGCTCAGCATGGTTTCTGGCATGTAGTATGTGCTCAGTAAATAGTAACTACTAAGTATGACCTGGCTTCACATTGATTTTTCAAAATTTGTTTTAAAATCAGTCAGTCAGCCTGAGAGACAGAGCTTACCACTGGGTTCCAGGCAGTTCTGATGTATGAGGGTTCTTCATGACTTGCTAGCGACAAGGGTAAGCCATGAAGAAAGAGAATGGTAACATTTATTGACTACCTCCTATTCGGAACTTGAGGGTGCATTCTTTAATCCTCAATATCACTTCGTAAGATAGATACTTTCAATTTACAGGAGAAACTGAGGTTTCAGCACTCAGCCAAAGCCAAATCCGGAGCCGGCAGCCTGGGGATTTGAGCTCAGTTGTATCTGAGTGCAGGTCCAAGGTTCTTTCCCCCATCCCTGGTCCCTGCCCCTCCACCACTCACCTTTTCAGCTCCAGCGACGCTGTACGTGGCCAGACACCAGCCCCTGGGATGCTGTCCCTCTTCCGGTCACCTGTTCTTCACCTTGGCCCCAACCTTGCCAAAAGGAGCATCTCCTGGGGCAGAGGGCAAAATGGGAGCTGAAAAATCTGGCTGCTAAGGTTCCTCTCGGTGTAAGAATTTATGATTCGGAGACCACAGAGAGCCATTTTCCCTCTGAGCTCACTATCCCCACCCAACAAATGAGGACACTGAGCCATGTCGAAGCATCTCAGATTTTCCCATGAGCACTTGCAGAGAGGCAGTGGGTGTTGTGGCTGAGACCCAGACTCGGGGACCAGACTGCCTGGGCTTGGCGACTGCTCTGCCACCGGCCAGCTGTGTACTTCTAGCAATTACCTCCCTTCTCTGTGCCTCAGCTTCCTCATCTATAACACGGAGAAGTTCACAGTGTTTACCTTGTGGAGTCGTTATGAGGATTAAGGCATTAACTACACGGAAAGGGCGTAGCCCACTGTCTGGACACAGGGAGTACCACTCTTGGAGGCGGAAGACAGGCAACAGTTCTCCCCGGGAGCATAAATTCCGGTAGCCTATCGCAAGCACAAAATTTATTTGATATCTTGTTCCTTTAAAAAAATTATTGTGTGACATACCCATCGTTGCTTAATATAAAGCAATATTCAAAGCACTAATCAATTAAGACCGGCACTCCAGCAAGTCCGGTCTACCTCCTGGTATACACTGGTGTACCCTGCGCATGCTAACACGCAGTTAGATGGCGGCCGATGACTTCCAGGATCCTTTCAGGTCTGGTATCGCGTAGTTCAGAGCATCAGCACCGCCAGGCGTCAGGAACCTGCTCTGGTGACTGCCTATCCGGTGCCCCCCACGCCCCCCACGCCCCGGAGCTGGCGCAGCAATTCCTGAGCCAAGGCCCCACCTGGGCGCCAGCAGGCCTGTTGCTGAAGGCACGGTCTGCTTCGTGCCAGCTCTGCTGCCCGGGTGCTGCCCACCGCGCCCCGCCTGGATCTTCTGTTCTAAGGTGGATGAAGAGAAAACGAGGGGGCGGGGAGTGGAGAGGGGAAGGGTAAGGCGATGCTTTGGGGGGGGAGTGCCTGCGGGATATTTTTGTTTGGATGGTAGGAAACGAGGAAAAGGCGCAGGTAGTCGCGATCACTGGGACCGTCCATCTTCCATTGCGCCCTGCGTAGCCCTCAAAGACAGAGGCCAAGACCCGCTCTCTAGACCCCTCTAAGCACCAAGGTGACAAAATTTGATGCCCCCTTCTTTGTAATGAAGATTTAAATTTATATGACACTCCAGCAAAACATCAGTGACACCTAAATGCTAAAAGTAGAGGAAGGACTGAGTAAATCATACCCCCTCCACTGGCCACTTAAAATCCTGGTAATCGGGAAGGTGGTTACCTCTGGACTTGGGTGATGGGCTCTCAGTGTTTGTTTTAGTATTAAAGTGCAGGTACGTGTTCTCTATAGTCATTTGTATGTGCGCTACATCTCGAAATAGAACAACAAAGTATTTTTGAGAAGAATAATGATGGTAATTGAGACCCCATCCAATTCAGAATAATAAGCAAGAGAGCAAATTCCGAAGTTGCATGAAATCTCAAATCATAACTGTGATTTGAGAAATAAAACTGTGATTTAAAAAATAAAATACTTGATTTAAAAAAATAAAATTGTATGTAGGAGAAGAGAGGCTGGAGGGAACTCACCAAAATGCTAATAGTGTTGAGATTATGGGTAATGTTTTTTCTCTTACCCATCTCCCAAACTTTCACAATGGTTACACACACCAAGAAAAGTTCCTCTGAAAGGATTTTTAAAGTGATTTTCAGATCACTTTCACATCTGTTATCTCACTGATTCTTACAGTCCTTTGGGTGGAGTCAGTACTAAATAGTTCTATTTTATAGACCGGAACACAGGTGAAGTGCGTGGGATTTACGTAAGCCACTCAGGTGGCTGAAGGGAAACCTCCCAGTGGGTCCCAGGTCTCCTGAGTCCTGCTAATCTTCTCCCTGCTGCAACTTCGTCCTCAGTACCTGGAGCTCCAGGATCCTCACTCTTAACTAGGAGTAGCTGCTACCTGGGTTTTGATCCTCTGATCCAAGGTGGATGTCTAGGTGTGTTGAAAATGGAGCACACGGAAGGTTTCAAAGATGCGGTCCCTGCCTGGGGTGCCCTCTTCCACTCTATTCTCAAATAGGTTCCAAAGTCCACTGGTAAAATTGTTTTGAAATGTTGAGAGAGATGTGGACATGTCGGGACCAAGGCTGTGTTTGAGAGTAAAGTTGGACAATATTTCTCCACTCTAGTTTTGGGAGGAAAAGAGATTATGGAAATGGGTCTGTCCTTGTGCAATTCAATGCCCATCCTCTCCTCTCCCTCCAACTCTCTTAGGAGAGGTTGCCAGGGGCTTACGTACGGGGTGACTCTGGCAGAAGGTCTTCATTGGAGACCCAGGGCTCCTCACTTCAGAGGGGTAATGCCTTGGGAAAAAACACCAAAGGCACAAGCAGACCAGAACCCCTATCCCCCGCTCCCAGCTTCTGGCACACTGTACAGGCCTCTGGCCCAGCGTGCATGGGGGAGAGCCCCGACCTGCGCTGGAATTGCTGAGGGTGGAGAACGGGCTCACTCTCATTGTTTCCTGCATGGAGTCTTATTGCCGATCCCCAGATGGTCATTCTCTGGGTATAGCTCGACTTCCTCCTCAATTGTCACAGACTAAGGGACAGAATGGGCTCTGGGAGAAACCCAGGGGTATCCCTAAAAGCCCTCCTTGATTCACAATTAATGACACCACTAATGAGGGACTGGCTGTGTCCTCCATTCTCACTGATCCTTCAGACAAACTTCTGTGTTAGGTAAAATTAGTGCTTTATTTTGGCTAAGGAAACTTAAGCCCAGAAAGCGAAATGACTTATCCAGGGTGACACAGTCACTTTTCACACTTCGGCAGAGCCCATATACAATGCTTCCCTGAATTTCCTGAGGAGGTCCATTTTGTTGATTCTGAAGTTAGTGATCCTCACTCCTCAGACTGATTTTAAGTGTGGGCTTTGGGATGCAGAATAGAAAAGAGAATCTACCCTACACTCCTTCTGAAGTGAAGTGGGCTGAGCCACAAAGACAAGGCTAGTGCCCGAGTGATTTTAACCTGGGTTTAATTTGCCCCTCTAGGGCCCTGTGAGCAAACACAATCTTAGGGTTCAAAGAAGAGCAATGGGGGTGGGGGAAGGAGCGGGAAGAAACTGTTCCCTAGACTAAGAAACTGCTAAAATCTTTAAATATCTCCAGACTTTTTTTTTTTTGGCTCCCTGCAATGTTTTGGTGTTTAGATTTGGTTGCCACGAGTGGGCTGTTTTTAGCTGCCTTGTTCCATCCCCTCCCCTTTTAACTTTTTTCCCTTCCTTTAGCACATGCCCCGGCATGAAGTTTCCAATTCTTATCTCACTCAGCAAAACATACCGAGGCTGGTCTGAATGTGGGTTCCCAAGGCGGTTCTCCAGCAGGAGCCTCCACAATATTCAAATCTCTGCTTAACCCTCTTTCAATGCGGATTAACCCCTGAAATAACCCAAGCCAGGGCTTCCTTCTCAGGAGGCAGGGACAATCTTTGCCTTTGTGCAGAGAAATATTTGGGTCTGAGGAGCTGTTCCTGCCCCTCGTTTACATGGGGCAGGAAGTCTGCACAGGGGACATTGGGTGGGACATTGGGTGCCGTCAACTCGAGTTAGGGTAAACTGAGGACGCACAGGACCAGATGTTGGTCACCCCTCTGGGGGCTCAAACGTTGGGACCCCCACTTCCTTTCCACTTTCCCAGTCTCTGCCAGTTGCCAGGCATTTATTTCACAGTTCTCCCCAGGGCTGGGGGCTGGGGGCCGGGAGGCAGGCAGGCATCCTTCCTGTTTTCCTGAGATAAGAATTTCATTGACAAGGGGGTGGGCTGACTCCCGTGTCAAAAGTCTCACTGCCCTCAAGTTTCAGGGGGAAGGCAGGCAGAGAACCTCAGCCGCTGTGGACAGCTGACGACAGCATTTCTACCCAGGTGTGACTTGGAGATTCAAAACCGGGAACTGTTGGAACGAAAATAAGCCTACTGAGAAGCATTATGGTAACAAAAATAAACCGAGGGGCGTGTGGGCTTCGTCGGGGAGGCTCTGGCCTCGGTGTGAGCAGGCCGGTCTGGCTGGTTACCTAGTTGAGTTTGCCCCCAGGACAGGACCCGACCTCCAGAAATCTGGCTTGGGCGCGCGAGTGGCTCGGACGTTAAACTGTGAACTGGTTAGATGTCCGCAGGCATTTCAGGGAGGAAAAGAAGGGAAAGCTTTCTCGTGTCCTCCCCCCCTCCCTGTTTCACTTTACGACGGCGCCGGTTATCCCAGACAGCAGATAAGTAGATACAACAGATAAGGAGAGAATCCCAAGTCCCTCTGGTTTAAACTGACAAACGCCCTTTCTCCGGGTCCGCGGGCCGCGCCGACACTCCCCGGGTTTACCCGCCGGCACCCGGTTTACCAGCAGACGCGTCGGCAGGAGGGCGGGTTTGGGGGTGTGGAGCGGGCCGTGCGGGGGTGCGGGCCCGGCGGAGGCCGGGAGGGTGTGGCCAGGAGAGCCGTTACCATGGCGAAAAGTAAAGCAAAACAACCGCTCCGAGCTTCGCGCGACGCAGCTGTACTGCGGACCGAGTCCCAAACAACCTCCACGTGGGTCCCGTGTGGAACCCCCGGGGCTCCCGGGCGGGTCGGGGCGCAGGGGCCTTCGGAGGCTGGGTGGGGCGGGATGTTCGGGGGGAGGCTCGGGTTGGGGGAGGGAAACACGTGGGCGGGCAAGTCCGGAGCGTCTCTCGCCCAGGCTGCTGGGCAATGGGACTCAGATACCCTGGGGTGGGGGACTATGTGCGTGTCTGTGTGTGTGAGACACACGCACACGCACTGATTGGACCCCCCCATCGCCACCGTAACAGACGGGGGCTTGCAGGTGCGGTGGGGTCGGGCTTCAAACGGGCGAGGCCAGGTCTCGGAGGCCCTTCTAGTTCCCACCCCACGTTACCTAACTTGGACCTGCGCTTGCCTCTCCCAAGAGGCAGATGGAAGCGCGTGTTTCTGCCCCGGCCGTGGCCCCACAGCGCACGGGCGCGCACGGGGCTCCCTCCCAGGCAGGTTCGAAACCAGCGAGGGCAACACTCGCTTCCACATCTACGCCTCCGTGGTTCCAGAAGGTCCGCAGACAGTTACGCGTGGGGAATCCAAGGCAAGATTCTTGGATTCTTGGGGTTCAAATCCAGTTCTGCTGAAGCCTCGGCTCGAACCTGGAGTCACGGGGCACCACCTTTCCCGCCACCCGGGCCTGGGGGCGGAAGGGATTTCGGCTGCGAGGCCTCGTTTCCGCAGCTGTCAGCCCGGTGCCCGCGGCCGGGTCCCAGCCCAATCCGCTCTGGGCGCCGAAAACTACGGGAAAGCCGAAGACTGCTTTCCCCTAAACACCCAAGTAAAGAGACCGAAACGCCCTCTCTCCTCCTCGCCTGGCCTTCAGGCTCTAGCCCTACTCGGTCCCTCTCTGAGTTGCCTCGGCTTTCTCCAGGTCTCTCGTCTTTCCCGGGTCTTGTTCGTTTCACTGTCGTTTCAAACGCGGTGGTTGTTTAAAAAACAAAATCCTAACCCAAACGTTCCCATCACTCGCCCTCGCCTGGGTGCCGGGCTCCCAACCTGTCTCGGGGCGGCTCCGCTCGAGCGCTCGGCTGGGGAGCCTCGGGGCTGAGAGCGCACGGCGCCCGCGGAGCGCTGCCCTCGGCTCAGGGATTAACCCGCAAACTGGCGGTCCCCGCCGCGGAGGTCGCCCACGGAGGATGCCTTCGGGCACCTCTTCCCCACCAGAGACTAACGCCACAGTCCCTACCCCGCCCCTACGTGAGAGGGAGGGGTTTGGCAGTGGAGGGGGTATTTTCCCGAAGCTCCAGAAAATCATCACGGATTTTAAGGAAAGGACGTGCCCGCTTCCCAGCCTCACCTAGTCTGGGATGCGGCCAGGATCCACCCCCCGCCCCCCCCCGCCAGCCCCTCCCGCAGCCTAGCGGAGGGAGAGATGCCAGCGCGGTAGAGTCATGCGGCTGGCTTGGGCACCATTGGCTCATGCCGGGAACACGCAGCAGCGAGTACGCACTTCTGGCAGGCAGCCCCAGCAACTCGGCTCCTGATATGGAGAGACGGGGCGGGCAGCTTTGCGTCGCAGCGCGCGAGGCCGGGAGGCCGAGCCGCGGCCGGCTCCTCCCCGGGCTTGCATCACCAGTCCCCACCTCTCCCCACCGCCCCTCTGGCCCCTCCTCCACCCCTCCTCCCGGTGCCCAGCCTAGTTCGGCTGGTTCTCAGGGGAAACTATTAATAGCATTACATCAGCCCAGAACTGGAGTAATCGGGCGCGGCGCCAGCCAGAGGGCTATAAAAGGGGTGATGCAACGCACTCGCAGCCACAGTCGCACGCAGCGAGGCGGCCACTGCTCAGTCCTCTCCCAGCGCCGCCGCCGCCGCCGCAGGGAACCCGCCAGCCCGCGCGCCGGCAGGGTGTTCCCGGTGCTCGGCCGCCGACCCCGCCGACGGGCAGCCCGACCCCGTTCCGACACCCCCCGCCCTCCGGACCCTGGCCGCCCCGACTGGAGACCGGAGGTGAGCGCTTGGAAACCAAGTGAACGAGCGCGGCGAGGGTGGCTCGCTTTCATTCCCTTTGCGCCCCTATAAGTAACTAACCCCGCGACCCCTGGACCCACCCCCGACCGGCGCCCCCAGCCTCCGGCTTCTAAAGGACTCCGGCTGAAGGTTTTCCAGCCACTGCTGCTCCTCAGCGCTTCAGGAAGTTTCTCGCCAACAACTTTCTGTTTTGACTTGGGGCGCGAAAGTTTCCTGGTGAAGGAGAAGTGGGCTTCTGCTTCTCATCCAGGTTGGGGACACTGCTCTTCTCCGCCCTCGGCATTTTCTTACTCGGCTGGGAGAGGGCGTAGGGAGGTGGGTTTCTCGGGGGTGGCCGAGGCTCTCCAGCTCACTGTCCGCTCCATCCCTCGCTTGGTGCCGGGGCACTGCCACTCCCATCTCCGTCTTCTCGAGGTCCGCGGCGGAGCTCGGTGGCCGCGGGCTCACGAAAGTGCTGCCCCAGGGGCCAAACGGAATGAATGGTGACCGGACCCGCAAACCCAGGTCGCGGGCGCGGTCGCTGCGAGTCGCCCTGCGCACCCGAGAGCGCTGGGAGCCGGGAGCGAAAGTTTGTTGAGATAAGTTTAGAGGCGGCGAGCGCTCCGGTCCTGACCTGCGGCCGAAGACGCAGAGGGCTCCCCGCGCCGAGTGGCGCCGAGCTCCTGGGCTGGAGACTTCCTGTCCCGAGTCGCTTACGCTTGGTTCTTCTCTCCCACCTGTGGCTCTAGCTCTTCCTCTGGCGGGTTCGCGGACTCCTCTGCTTGTCGTTCACCGACACCAGCCGTGGGGGAAGCGAGGGTGCGAAGCCCGTTGTTCATATAACTAAGAGAATGGCTTTGTGCCCCGGTGGCCAGGGCCGCGAGGAGAGCTTGTACTGCCCCTGCTGACCTTGAGCCTCAGTATCCCCAGCAGGAAGATGTGAGCACAGATGCAGTGCTGGCGCCTCTGCCTGTATGCGAGCGCAGGTGGTGGTTGGACCAGATAACCATCAGGGTCCTTCCTGGCCCGATTTTCAGATTCTGGAGTGGTGTAACTGAGAGAAGGGGGGCCGGTGAGGGGCCCCGAATCACTGGAAGACGCCCTGTCTCTAATGTCACGAGCAGCCTCGGATGCAAAGAGGGAAGGAGACTTCTCCGTGGGGCATCTTCCCTTTCCAACTTTCTTCCCCCTGGAATTGGTTCTCCTCTGCTCCCCCACGCTGCATTTTCCTCATCTACTTACTTGCCAACCACTTTCTTCTCTCTGATTTCATTACCTAGATCACAGATGCTTAGAGCTGCTGAAGCTTTGATGGGGAAAAATAAAGTGTGTGTGTTCTGGGGAGGAGGGTGGTTCAGAAAGGGCCAAAGGGCCAAGAGCCAGGGAGAAGGGTGGGGTTGAGACAGGAAGAGCCCAAAGACTCCAGTAGCAGCCACAGGTGCCATGTCTTATCCAGACTGTGGGCCCGAAGTCTGCCAGTCACATCGTCTCCCAGGGCACCTGTCTCAGTGTGAGCGACAGTCCCCTCTGTTTGGGGCTTCGACAGAAGTTTCAATGAAGGAGAAACGGATATTACTGCCCCCTTGTTTTGCATTTAGCATTTGTTGTAGAATAATGCCGCAGTATATAGGCTCTTGCTTTGAGGGTATTCCCTGCAGAGACTGGGGTGGGGGTGGGTTTTGCGGTTGTATTGTGGGGCTGGTTTCAGTGCCCCGTGGACGGTAGCACTGCAGGCCCGCAGTGGGGGTGAGACCCAGTCTCACCTGTGGCAGCTCTCTCAGCCTTTGGATCCCCGCTGTCTCAACCACTCCCTTCCCCTCTCCCCTCTCCCTGGTGGCCGATTCTTCCCTTCGCTTCCTCCTGCTCTCCCTCCCTGTCTGGTCCTGTCAAAGCCTTCTCTGTGCTGGGTACCGACCCGGCTACTGGACCATTGACCCTTCATCCGCCTGGCCAGCGGCTCTGTTCTCCACTTGCCTTGTTGGTTGAACCTCTGTTGGTGATGGAACACAGTGAGGAGTGGGTGGGTGGTCAGCTGCTTGGCCTGAACTGGACCTCTCCCCAGCTTTGTGGCCTTGGGCAAGTCACTGTGCTTTCCGAGACCTCATTGTACTCAGTTTACAAATGGAGGCCTGACCTAGATGACTCTGATACTGAGTGTTCTATCCCATTGGATAGAATCCATGATCTCTTCCATTTTCAAATTGGGCGGGCACGGGGCAGGGTCAGTGACTCCAGGGGTCCCCCACCCAAGGGAAGAGGAAGTACATGGCCAGGACACCACAGAAACCAGAAATGGTTTCACGAGTGAGAACTAGTTATTTCTTAAGTACGTAAAACCTGTGGGGACAAGCCACTGCCAGCCAATGGGGGGGGGGCGGGGTGGGATTGATCTGGTGTGACAGGAAGCTGCGGGTCAACCAAAGGGCAAAAGAAGCTGTGACTGACGGGAATCCTGATGAATGGGACTGGGCTGCATGGGAGTGACTGACAGCAGTATCACGCTCCCCCTGAAATGGGGAAAGTGGAGTCACGGCAGGGTTGAGTACCCAGGACGCGTGTGAACTCACCTTCACGAATCTCGTGTGATCTTCCTGACGGCCCTGTGCTCGAACTAGGGCAGGTGGTACTGGTCTCATGTCACAGATGAGGAGACTGAGGGCCTGGAAGCTTCTGGTCCCCGAGGCCGGCCTCGTACCTCCGACCTTCAAGTGGCTGGGGGAAAGACCCAGCACGGTATGAAGTTAGCAAAAGACCCATGCTGGCTTCTGTGTTTTATGAGCAGGAGCAGTTAGTGGAAAGAGATAAAAATTAAAGGGAAAATTCAACACAGTTGTTAGTAGCTACTGGGAAATAAAGTCCAGGCGCTGAATTTCCAGTTAAAGAAATACATGAGTAAAGTTTCACTTTCTTGAAAATGATGAAACTACCAATGATATGACATGATTTCTGATCAGAGATAATGAAGCAGAAGCAAAACGCAGCTGCTTTGTAGCATTTCTGTAGCAATTTTAAAATCAATGTAGAAAGTCAACTCAGAAAATCCTCAAACTTTTTTTTCTTCAGTGAAGGAGATGTTAGAGGGTCTCAGCTTGTGGGTGGGAAATGTCTGAAGATTTAACTTCATTTTCCTCATAGGGACATAGCAGGAATCCAGGCTGAATCATATCATCAGAGAATTGAGTAAAGAAGTCACTAGAAAGGATCCCAGGAAACTAAAAACTAAGCCTTAGCCGAGGGCAGAGAAAGTCCAGATCTCTAACGATACAACTACTTTACTTTCTGGAAAGCTTTTTAACATTGTACAGCTCTTTTCTATCCCCAAGGAAGCCCTCCCAAGACTTTTCATAAAGACATTCCATACCACTGACATTCTTCATTTTTCTCTCATCAGGATTGCTGACTTTACACTAAGAAGGGGAAAAAAACCCAAAACAAAACTAAAAAGCAGGCCTCGAGTCTTGAGAGCTCATTAATAAACTTGGTCGGGTGGTGAAATGGAACTACCCTCAACTGCCATGGAGTTCGAACTACCCGTGTCGAAGGGCGCCGGCCATCTAGGCTTCCAAACAAAGGCGAGCCCGGGGGTGGCTTTGAACTCCATCAGAAGTTGGACAGGGAGGGAGAACACGAATGCTTGGGAGAATCTTAAGCCTCTGGCTTTGGAAGGCTGGTTTCCCAGAGTTTATCACCTGCCAGAGACCAGCGCCCTAAGATTATAGGATTAAACTGGTAGAACATCAGTTCTGACTCATGACAAAGGGCTTTAGGAAGAGTGTTCACATACATTTCTTGGCTTTCTTTGAATAGTCAACAGGGGCATTTGTTGGCCTGGAATTCTTGCCTCTGACAGTGTATCTCAAATCTTAAGGGGGAGTTAGAGGTCAGGGTGTTCTTCTGAAAGGTGTTTGAGATCAAAGAGAGTGACCAGCCACCCTCCCGCGTGGACCTCACAGAGCGTCTGTCAGAGAGCCAGCCCTGTGCTTGGAGCATCCCTGGGAGGCCCAGTGAGAACATGCCTCCTAGTCGCATTGTTTCCAGGGCATATTCACGTATTATTATTATTCTGCTCTTTTACGGAGGAGAAGGAAGGCACCGGGAGGTATAATGATGACATATGAGCGAGTGAGCCTTATATCTTGATCTTCTGACCCAACTCTGGGACTTTTGTGGACAAAAGACCCACTTACACACACTCCGAAGTGCGGGCAGCAGCCTGAGCGTACACCCTGACGTAGAAAGATCAGCAGTTTGTTACCTAGAGTTCAAGTTTTCCCTCTGGCTCTTTCCTTTGCTCCCCCCACAACCCTTATGCCGGTCCCATTCCCCAGAAATACTCGCTCTGGTTTTTTGTTTGTTTTTGCTGTGTGGAATAATATTCTATAAAGTAGAATATTCTACTTAATAGAATATTCTATTAAGTTAATTAATTCTATAAATTAAGGACATAAATTCTGGAGTCAAATCTAATTCCAAACCCTGATGCCGCCTCGCACTAAATATGACTCTCGACAAGTTGTTGAGCTTGTATAAACCTCAATTACTCTATCTGTAAAAGGGGGCTGGGACCTAGCCCACGGGGTTCTCTCGAGGATTAAATGAGGTTTCTACTATGAAGGAGGCACCCGTTATATGGCAGCAATTTGCTGGCAGACTTCCTCTCTGGCTGGACTTGGCTTAAAGACCACAGGTCCCCAAGACTGAGGACTCTCCAGGGGACCCCCTGGCTAGACGATCCCTGCGTTCATCGCCCCTGGAGAACTGACTGCCTGGATGAGGGACAGCCACTGCTGGAGGAAGTGTATGACAAGGGGAGGTTTATGGGGGCCACGAGACTATTACTGTTTCTACCCTTTATTTTCCTGTTGTCAGCTTGGGTTCCCTAAACCACAAGATGACAGGAGTGGACAGGACCTCGGAAGTTAGTTGATTTGACCACCTGTTTCCGATTTTGTGTATTCTGTTGGGCAGTGGCCGGTGGAGAGCAAGCAGGGGAGCAGCCAGCGCCAGGCACCGTGCCGGGCGCTGGGGGTGGGCGGCAGCGGACACTCAGTCCCCAGGCTGCAGGAGCTCTCAGCCCTTCGCCAGGTGAAGACTGAGTCTCAGAACGCCTCCCTCGCACTGCTGCTTCTGGTCACACTGGCCAGAGCCAGCTGCAGGCGCGCTCTGGCCCCCAGACCAAAACTCTCCAGACGCCACAGGGCTGAACAAGACCTCCTAAGGAGGTCTGAAATCTTAGCTCCTCCCTTTTCTTCACTCTGAGGTCTTGGGTTCACAAAGCTTAACTCTACAAAGGGACCATTGGTCCCTTGTGATCTGAATCCCTGGCTCCCAGCCCTTGCCAAGAACTGGCTCAGAGAAAAACACCTGCTACGGTGACCATCCTCCTCCTCATTTATTTGGATCCAACCTGCTGAGGGAGAAGCCTCAGAGATACATTTGCTAAATTCAGGGGTGCCCCCCCCACGCCTTGCTTTACTTCCACTTACTGACAACTTCAACTTGATTTGAGATGCCAAGTTTCTTTTTTTTTTTCAAAAAGAGACTGGAAATGGTTTTACATAATAGTTTCACTTTTTGTTTTTAACGCTCTTCCTCTTTCAGTTCTGTTTGAGGCTACACTTGCATATAAGCACACCAGCCCAAACTAATGCTTTTAAGAATGTAGAATAGCCTGAAATGCCACCCCAATAAGCTTCAGATGGGCATTTTTTCCACAATCACTGAGCTGTGTTTTCTAAGAACATGTTTTACTCAAACTGAGTCTGGCATGAAATGAAAACAGGACAGAAGCTGGAGGGCGTATGGGACTTTCTCTTGGAGTGGGGCTTGGGTCGGAGGTCGGAGGTCGCAGGTCTGGGGGACTTGGTCGCATGCTCCCAATCCCTGAAGTAGTTTGGGTTTCGATGTGTCTTTCAGCAAAATGATGCTTCAGCACCCAGGCCAGGTCTCTGCCTCGGAAGTCAGTGCCTCTGCCATCGTCCCCTGCCTGTCCCCTCCTGGGTCACTGGTGTTTGAGGATTTTGCTAACCTGACACCCTTTGTCAAGGAAGAGCTGAGGTTCGCCATCCAGAACAAGCACCTCTGCCACCGGATGTCCTCTGCGCTGGAGTCAGTCACTGTCAGCAGCAAACCCCTCGAGATGTCGATCACAAAAACCCAGGTAGGTTCTGCCACAGGTGTCCGTTTGTTCAGCGTGTATTTATTGTGCACCTGCACGCCTGCCACGTGCCAGAGCGTGCCCTGGGTGGGGGGCTGCAGTGGGAGTAAAACCAGCCACTGCCCTCAGGGAGCTTACCTTCCCCTGGGCAGAGACAGATCATACACAGAAGTAAAAGCATAATATGGGAGACTGGCAAAGGGGAAAACTCCAGCAGCAGAGGGGGACTGAGACCAGGGCTGGGGTCGGGGGCTGCTCTACAGGGAAGGCTTCGCTGGTACAATGGCCTCTGAGCAGAGACTCCAAAGAGGAGGAGAAGGAGGCCGTCTAGGTATCTGGCAAAAGAGCAAGGATCAGGGCACTGGGAGGGAGTGTGCTTGGGGATAAGGGCAGCAGCAAGGTGAGGGGTGGGTGTCGAGGTAGGAGCTGAGGGGGTGGGTGGGGGCAGATTGTGCTGGGCCTCACAGACCACTGTAAAGGTACAGCCATTTACTCAGTGAGATGGGAGGCCCCTGGAAAGTTCCTGAGCAGCGGAGCAGCATGGTCCGACCTACAGTTTTTAGGTGATCACCAACTGCCACATTGAGAATGGGCAGCAGGGGCAAGAGTAGAAACAGAATATAGAAATGAGAGGTCACAGTAATGCAGGTGAGCAGTGGAGGGTCAGGTCAGGATGGGAGCCATGAGGTACGGAGAAGTGCTTGGCTCCTGGGTCTGTCCTGAAGGTAAAGCAGATATTCTGATGCATCGGACATAGAGTATGGCTCCAGGTGGGGACACAAGGGTGGTGTCCACATTTCTGGCCTGACCAACTGTAAGGATGGTGTGCCCATTTGCTGGTGAGCTAGGGACTGTAGGAGGTTGGATGGGCCCAGGACACAAGTCCATCCTATCGGACGCCGCAGTGGAGGAGGCAGCCGGGCATGTGGGTTGGGAGTTAGCAGAGGAGAACCAGGACTAGAGATGTGGAGTGGGAAGCCGTTGGCCTATGGGTGTTATTTAAAGACATGAGCCTGTATGAGATCACCTCTTTGTGTCTAGTCGTTCTGAAGAAGCCCCAAGTGTAGTGTTTATTTTCATAACTGCAAAGACCCAGGTGGCCAGACTGGTGTGAGGACCCACCAGCCTTGCTCACAGCCTTAGTACCAGGTTCTGCTTCAAGTTCACTTCTATCTGACACTTGCACTGCTCCCCACTTGGTGACCTTTTTAAAGACACACAGAGTAACAGACATGGTGACAAGTCTGTGCAGTGGTTGCTGGTGATGCTGTGTGTGGTGGCTTAAAAACTCAGAGCTGAGGTCCTGGACGTTTTGTTGGCTCTTCCCTCAGGGGCTCAAGATGGGAATGTTTCAGGCTTAACTGCTATCAACATGCCTTTGGACAAGGAGTAGGGGAACTGGCCAAAAGGGAACTGAGTTTTAAAGGAAGTTGGTTAAGAATCTTTATGACTCTGTGAAGGGGCGGTGAGTCAATGCAAGGGCTCTGTGATTCTATGTAAGGGTTAATAAAATGATTTTTTTTAAGGGTCTAGTAGAGGACCTGGGTGATCATTACTTCAGGGACTGGTAGAAGGGCCCAGGGTGATGCTGTTCTTAGGGGCATTGGCTGGGCCCTAATGAACCTGAGGGGCTGTCACTGGTACCCAGCACAATAGTGGACAGTGCAGGCTGGATATTGGGATACTTGAGGGAGTATTTATTTGAATTTTCTAATTAAATATCTTGAGATAACAGGATGGAATGGAAGTAGTAGGATCGTCATAGAAGGAAGGAGAGCATTTTGGAAGGATATTTTTAGGGTTCTCCAGAGGGAGTAGAAGGCAGCCTGCCTTGTGGAAAAACTCCTTACAGCCACCCAACCAGTCCGTCTGTGATTCTGTGTTCATCGAGTGATCCTCTGATCTCAGTTTCCCTTAACAAGTAGGTTTTCCTGTTGGGAAGAAAATGCTCTGACTGGCCTTGAATACTCTGGTCCCCTTGGCTGCTGGAGTTCTCAACTTAAAATAAGACACTGAGCCTAGGAAGCCCACAGACATCCTGTCTGTGTGTTGGGGCAGCGTGAGCCTGTTCCCCAGATCTCAGTCACCCAGCTGGGACTTGCAAAGGACACAGGACGAGGGACCAAAGGCCTGGGTCGCATCGGGTTTTGTAGCCACTGGTCTGCTGACCACGAGCTGGCGATTCCCGGGCCTCCCAGGGCACATTACGCACTGACAGATCAATATTATCGGTTGGCTGAATTCCTCATTCCCACATTAATAAACCAATGGGACCAAACCAAATGGCCTCTAGAAAGGACTTTCCCTCTCTGAGAGTATGTGAACTTGAGATTTGCTCTACTTTCAAGTATTTCCTCACATGAGAGAGCCCTGAATTCTCTCCCGTCTATCCAAAAATGTCAAAGTGTCAGAGGAAATACAAGAATCACTGAGCTGTTGATGAAGACACAGATGGTGAGGTTAATAATAACTGATGCTTACATAGCACTGGCTGTGAGCTGAACACTGTGCAAAGCATTTGCATTTATTAACTGATTTGACCCTCATCGTAACCCTATTAAGTAGGTAAAACTATTGATCCCATTTTACAGATGAGGAAACTGAGGCTCAGAAGAATATGCCGCTTTACCCAAGGTCTCACAGCTAATAGGTAGTAAAGCTGGAATTCAGAAGCAGTTGAGTCTAAACCCAAATGTCCGCCTGTGTGGGTCTGGGACCCCGGGTTTAAAACGTGGAATTTCTCTCACCGTATGTCCCCCTTGGGCTTTGTTCCCCGACACTGCATGGCTGTCCACCTCAGTCCAGACTAAGTCAGTACCGTCCAGTCCAGACCCCTAGCAATAAGCCAGACATGAGGTGATAATGGCCTGCCCAGGGTCTCTTTGGTTTGAGGCGTGGCTCCCATACCCTTTTCCACTGTCCAGAGCAGGGACAAGTGACATGACAAGGCCTGACATTAGCAGCCTACACCATTCATTACCCACTCAGCCCTCCAGCTTCTCCCCGGCCAGACGCTGGTCTCTAAGCCAAGTCCAGCAGCCGGACTCTGCTGACTCCTCATCAGTCCTCAGACAGAGTCAGAATCAGAGTAAACTTCCAGAGGCCCAGATGCTAAAACAGGATACAGTTTTGTTCTCTCAGGAGCCCCAGAGCTGGCTCAGCGTGAGGCCTGGAGGACGAGATCAGTATTTAATTGAAGGATAAATGAATGGATGGTGCTCGTTTGCCACCCATCGGTGGCACCGAGCCAGGGGCTGATATGCCACTTAGGTTGGGAAGAGCTTGGGTTCCTCTTCTCCAGGGGCGCCACGGGCTTCTCCTGAATTCAGGAAGGAGGTGTTCTGATGCTCCAGAAAGTGAACGGGCTGCCCTTGGGTCTCGAATCAAAGAGACAGGGAGACAGGGTGGCCGGGCCCCTGAGGTCATTCATGGTTTTAAGGGAAAGGACATTTACCAAGCAGAATCTGTTTCCTGTGTTAATGATTACTGTTATCAATAGTTATCGATTTGAATATCAAACCTATTTTAAGATCCAAATACAAATTTATTTATTTATTTATTTTTAAATGATATGGTTTTTTAAAGATTTTATTTATCTTTAGAGGTGAAGGGAAGGAGAGAAGGAGAGAAATATCAGTGTATGGTTGTTTCTTGTGTGTCCCTTGCTGGGAACTGGCCTGCAACCCAGGCATGTGCCCTGACTGGGAATTGAACCACGATCTTTTGGTTTGCAGGCCCGTGCTCAATCCACTGAGCTACACCAGCCGGGCTCCAAATACATTTTTAAAATAAGCTAAATTTTACTTTACCAATATTGCCAGTAAAATGTTAACAGTTCTTTGATTTTTTAAAATTACTTATTTTTAGACAGAGCGGAGGGGAGGGAGAAAGAAAGGGAGAGAATCATCAGCGTGTGGTTACTTCTTGCACACCCCCAGTTGGGGACCTGGTCCACAACCCAGGCATGTGCCCTGACTGGGAATTGAACCAGCGACCCTTTGGTTCTCAGGCCAGCACTCAATCCACTGATCTACACCAGTCAGGGCCAGTTCTTTGATTTTTACTATTCATTCTGAAGGGCGTGTGTGTGTGTGGCGAGGTGCATTTAAAGCCCAGGGCTTTACTCTTTCCAGGCCCTTCAGCGTCCAGCTGCCCTGGTTTGCCAGTTCTGGGTGGCGATAAAAGGCAGCCTGTGTCTGCGGCGGGTCGCATTTCTTGCCTCCCATTAAGCAAGTGCCTCTTGGATTTTATAGGTAAGCCCTGAAGAAGATGAAAGAAAAAAGAGGCGACGGGAAAGAAACAAGATTGCAGCCGCCAAGTGCCGAAACAAGAAGAAGGAGAAGACAGAGTGTCTGCAGAAAGTGGGTGTCTTCTCGCCTCCCCCTGCCCCCTCGCACATGCCTGTCCCCCATTGGCCGCATGTCATCATCACTGTAGCAGCAATGCCAGTGGCTGAGTGAAACGTGACTCTGGGTGTATAAAAGCAGGTGTGCGAACTAAACACCCCGCAGCGGCCGCGGCCAGTCCCGACGCGCCCGGCAGCTTCCAGGCGGCGGGATATGTCAGCCCGGTTAAAGAGGCTTCCCTTGCCCGTTTGCCTGAGAAAAGGAAGCTGCCAGCTCTCATTTGGCTCACTATGAAACACCTTTAATTAATCTCTTCAAACGAGTTATTTCCTTAATCCGCAAGCAGTAGTTAAACTTTTTTGGTGTTCCTGTGTAGCCCTGCTTGGCTCACCTAGTGGGCTTAGCTCCTGGCTGCATGCAGCCGGCCCCACTTCCCAAAGGGAATGGCATCTGTGCCGGGGGTGCGGCTGGTGGTGCAGTCTTTCCAGTGGTCGTGTCCCTTCCCCCTGGTGTGGACAGGCCAGGGCAGAGGCTCACCCAGATTCAACAGGTCCTCCAGGGTTCTGTTGATTGCTTTAGGGACTCAGTGAAAATGAAGACATTTTGTGTGTAGCTGTATACATTCTTTCTGGGGAGATGAGCTTCTCATTGAAATGAGTGACTCACAGAAGATGAAGCCTCATGAGTCTGGGGTTTGACCCAGCCTCCAAGACGCTTGTGGGTCCAGAAGAACTGCACGTGGTCTGTTGGGCTCGTGCAAAAGAGATCTCTGAGCCGTTGGTTCCACTGTAGCTTCATTACTGTGAGAGGCACACCCGGCTCAAACCCTGAGTGGAAACTCAAGGGCATCTCTGAAGAAGCCTCTAAGTTCAAGAACACCCCGGCTTCTCCAGGGTCTGGATTCTGCCAAACCTAAGGCCGCTGCCCCGGCTGTGTTGGGGCAGTGTGTGCGGTAGCAGGGAGCCAATGGCATTGGCTCTGCAGGCCATTTCCAGCTTGATATGCCCTTATACATCCCAGGTGCTACCCCGCCACCCAGGGCCCATTCCCTGGTCACCCGATCACCCATTCCTTGCTGGAACTTGGCTCCATTCTTACTAACTCTGTTGCTTATCCCCAGGAGTCGGAGAAGCTGGAGAGTGTGAATGCTGAACTGAAGGCCCAGATCGAGGAGCTCAAGAACGAGAAGCAGCATTTGATATACATGCTCAACCTTCATCGACCCACATGTATCGTCCGGGCTCAGAACGGGCGGACTCCAGAAGATGAGCGAAACCTTTTTATCCAACAGATAAAAGAAGGAACATTACAGAGCTAAGCAGCTGTAGTTATGGGGGCAAGTGGGGACTCCTCATCGACTCCTCCTTCTGCATCCAAAACTCTGCAGCCATTGGAGATCTGACTTCCTGTGCACCTTGAATCCCACTGGCAGAGGACTGTGGAGGCGGGAGGGCTCCGGTGGAGCCTCTCCACTCTGCCCCCGAGCGGACTTCGGACCAGAGCAAGGGCAACTTTTGCCTCAACTCCAGGATTCCGGCCTTAACATACCAGCCATTCTTGGGTTCTCCAGATAGCCCCTGGTTAGGGTCCTGCCCACCTTTCATCTGGATTCTACAAAACCAGAATTCCCACCACTAGGGTTCCTGCAGAAGTGTCTGTACCTTGGGTGGGTGGGGTGGGACCACCTCCTCTGTTGCCACTGCCACCGCCGTCACTTGTAGGGGACATGGAGTGAGAATGGCGTTCAGCAAAGCTGTACAATGGCCAGGGTTGTGCTTCTAGCAAATATGCTGTCATGTACAGGAGTTATTGTATGCAAGGCATCTGTTTCATAACCGGGCATTGGGTGCTCCCGATGTCTGTTCTTACAACACTGGGGTGGTTTTCTCATTACTTCCCTCAGGTCTGGTTTCTGGGGGCTTGAGGGGCTATCACCATGTGCAGCGCTTTACAAAATGTTCAGGTGGCCGGAAGAGCTTGTCAGCCCCGGGAAAACAGAGTTTTGCTCGCCAGCAGTGCGGTTCTGTGCCCCGAGAAGGCCTTTCCCTTGGCACCCAGGCTGTAACAGAATTCATGGGCATGGCCGCGGCAGGTCCTCTGTCACTGGGTGAAAGCAGAACGTCCACCTGCCGAAGGGTCAGGACTCTTTCTGCTCAGTGACTGAGGTCAGGAGTCATTTCTAGGCCGGAAGAGCCAAAGAATATTCCATTTTCCTTTTCCTGCGGTTGAAAACCACATTCAGTGGAGGCAGATTTGAAGCCAGGGGACGCCTAGGCTTTAGCATTATGGGATGTTACTGTCGCCGTGTTTGTTGTGCAGATGTTTGTAGGCATCTGGCCCAGAGCTTTTCACAGCTGTGAGAGGTCATTCGCACTGGCCACAAGGACTCTGGTCTGTTTGAATTCTGATGTTTCCGTGAAATCCTCAGAGTGTTCAATCCTACACAATAGTATCATTACAATTTTCTGTAAGAGAAAATGTTACTTATTTATCCTAGTATTCCTAACTTGTCAATATAATAAATATTGAAACCAAGATGTGGTAAATTTCAGTGTTGTGCTGGTTTGTGTTCTTTGAAACCAACTGGTGGTTGCAGTCGTCATTCTGCAGCCCCTTTCCTCTCCGTGGTGGGGAGGGCGATGGGAGGGTTGCTTAGCCTTGAATATTCTCCGAGGGCCCCTTTGTTCTTTGGGCACCTGCCACCAGCTGGAAGAGTGGACTCTCAATCCCACGCCTCGGTCTGTGGCCTCTGATGCTCCGTTTCTCGTGAACGAGTCCTGGGACACAGCCCCACGTGTATCCCTCTGACCGTCTGGTGTTAAGACAGAATTCTGATTCAAAATCTGAATGGCTAAATACCTCAACTGTGGCTTTCTCTGAGTATATAAAGCCTATGATATGCACCTGTTCAGCTCGAGCCACGGACACCTTACATTCAGCCGTGGAACTTCTCTTGAAGTAGCCACTTGAATTAGGTTCATAACGCCCAAGTGTGTGTCTCTTTGTTGCAAATTTATGTGTGTCAACTATCAGGAAAACAATGAGGGGAGGTTGGAGAAGAAGAAGGAATAATTTTAGATGGGATAGGTGTGGTAATTTAAAGAAAAGTATTCCACCTAATTTTCTGGAGTCTCCCGGGCATACGATCCCTTAGGTCTGGAACAGAACCGGGTCCCTTTGCTCTTCACCTGTGCACATATGCAACACGGGCTAGAAATAATAACTGGCTACTCTGTTACCAATGCTTCCGAGAGATCCCGGCTTCATTAAATGTTAAGATTCATGCACAGTAATGGTGCCTGCTCCTTTGAACTTGTGTATGGTTCCTTTCAACTGGCACCTGTGACACAGGTGTCTTCCTCTTGCTGCTTTAATTGTACGTCAGGGGTAGTTACTAATCTGTTAAAACCAGCTGGTGGGAGCGCCTGTCTTTGAGATCATCATCTTTTCTGCATCCTGGTGGAGGGGCAAAAATTCCTTGCATTTACCCTCTGGTTGTGGGTATAGGAGCCACCGATCAGCCGTTACGAAACTCAAGACACTTTTCAAGCTCCCACGGACGATGGAAATGAGGAAGGAAAGCGTTGGTGGCTGTGGCAGGAAAAGCTGATCAGAGAAATGCACTGTATATGGCTAATGAAACTAAGTTCTTTTAACAAATGCATTAAAAGTAGTTTTGTTTTCTGTAGCCAAGTTTATGTTTTGATACTTCCATAAAAAAAGAGAGAGAGAATGACTTTGTATTTACCATCAAGGCATTTAGTTTGTCTCGTTTCACATTCAATGATGAAGACAGAGGTTGGGGGTGGGGCGGCCGGGAGAACGAACGCGCCTGGGACCTCCGCCAGAATGACATCTTTTCACTGGGCTGCCTCTGCGGCGCCAGCACACGGCCAGGTCATGGGGAAACCCGTTCTCCCTCCTCCTGTCCCCTTGCCCTTCCCTGAGATCTGGCCCGATACCTGTTTTGGAGTAAAGAGATTTAATAAGTTCTGGCCCAGGGCAGGGGTTCTGGAGTGAGACTTCCACTTTCTGCCAAGGGCTAAAATGCTGACTATTTTTCATCTCTATCCTAATTTCTCCTCATGGGCTTTTAACCAACCCTCGAAACCCAAACCAAGCCATCTTCTCTCTTCTGCGCCCCATAGTATCTGGTCGCATTCAGGCAGTTGCCCGGTGGAGTGGACAGTGGTTGTGGACCTGCCTGAGACAAAGTCTCACGGGAGTCCAGGGCGGTCCACTGTGCACCCTTCTGTCTTCCCCTGGTGGCTCTGACCGCAGGAGCTTCTCTAATCCAATCTGCTTTCGGCAAAGAATCCAGACCGAGCCTTAAAGGCCAGCTGAGGACCAATGGCAACCAGAACTAACATTTATGGAGACAATATGCTCAACCCTTTATGTGCATTAAAGCACTGAATCCTCCCAGCAACTGTTATGATCCTCACTGTACAGATGAGGAAGTAGAGAGCTGAGTGGCTTGCTCAGGGTCACACAGTTGACATTTCTAAAGCTGAAGCCTGTGTTTTTTAATGAGGAGCGTTCTGAGCAGGGTGTGTGTGTGTGTATGTGCATATGTGTGTGTGTGATTAAAACACACATAATGTAACATTTTCCATTGTAACCACGGGAGAGTGTGCAGTTCAGTGGCATTCAGGACATCCCCGATATTGCACAACCATCACCACTAGCTCCAGAATTTTTCCTCACCCCAAAAGGAAGTCCTGTATCTCTTAAGCAGTCGCTCTGCATTCTCTCCTCCCTCCAGTACTAGGCAACCAAGAATCTAACATCCATCTCTATGGATTTACCAGTGGAATCCTACAACATGTGGCCTTTTATATCTGGCTTCTTCCGCTTAGCAAAACGTTTCCCGGGTTCATTCAGGTTGCAGCATGTCAGCACCTCACTCCTTTTTGTGGCTGAAGATCGTTCCACTGCATGCGTAGACCAAATTTTGTTTATCTACTCATCTGTTGATGGACAGGGATGTTTTAACAGAAAGATAGTCTTTCTCCTCAAGGAACGAATGGCTAAGGTGTGAGATAGGAGGGCTGGAAGCAGGGGTCTTTCTCGGAACTTTCGCGTAACGAATTAGAAATCACGTATTCTGTGCTGGCTCTGTAAGAACGGCGAGAAGGCAGAAGGTTCTGCAGGAGGCCCTTCGGCAGGTGCCTGGGACTGAAGCTGACAGAGCCGTTTGCACGGGGATGATGGAGGGAAGGGACGGAGGCGGCCCCCTGGAAAATCTAATTCTCAGCCCAGCCACTATCTTGCACTCTCTCTATAACACACACACATACGTGGAATTAATTATGCAACTTCTAACAATGTCTTCTTGGACGTAGCTAACTCAGTCCAGTTGAAAACCATTCAGGCGGCCCAAGCTTCCTTCGTGAAGCAAAGTGCCCGGTGGTTCCGAAAAAAGACTTCAGAATTAGCTGGGCCTGTGTTCAAACACTGACTTCACTGCTGTTGGTGGTGTGAATTTGGGCAGGCGACACAGCTTCGATTTCTTCACCTGTGAAAGGGACAGTAGCAACAGCCCCAAACTCAATGGATTCTTCCGCCCCTGTGGCAAGAACACAGCATGGAGCCTGACAGAAGCAACTGTCACTGTTACAGGTCATTGTCCTCAACATTTACTGGGATTTTATGAAGGATGGACTAGGGACCAAGGTTGCCAATGCTGGGTTATTTGATCACATTAAACTTAGAGCTCAAGTGGCTCACATTTATCCCCTCCTCTTATGTTCCCACAGTTTTGTCCAGTTTTCATTTTGGAACCCACCTGAGTCCTGGCAGGGCAGGCCTGTCCTCTGGAGGAGCAGCGGGGCCTGGGGAAATGATGGTGGCCCTGCCCTGAGGGGGTGAGAACAAAGGGGTATGTGACGGCGACAGGTCACAAAGGGCAGCAGAGGATAAATATGGCTGGGCAGGGGGGTTAGGCCGAGAGTGGAGCTCACAGCCTCTCAGGGAAATAAAAAATCAGGGGTGGAGGTGAGGTGAGGCAGCGTGGAATCCCACTCTACATCCCCATATCCTTGAAGACGGTCAGCCTGGGGTCCAGATACCCTCTAGCATCCCCACCCATGCCTCTGGGAGGCTGGGAGGCAAAGGGGGTCTTGTGGGCTGGGACGGGGTGGACAGACCTGCGTGGAGCCAGCTGTGTGACACGGGAGCATTGCTGTTCCCTTTTCTGCCCTGAGACTAAGAAACAAGAGACCCAGGGGCCTGCCTTGCCAGCACTGTTTGCTGTGATAAAACAGAGCTGGGAAGAGTGAGCCTCTGTCGCCATACCCCGCGGCCTCGGCCTCGTGTGGCTCCGGCGCGAGCATGTTCAGCAGCGCGATGGGGAAGCTGCAGCGCCAGCTGTACAAGGGGGAATACGACATTTTCAAGTACGCACAGGTGTTTGAGGGTGACTTCATCCAGACCACGAAGAAGGGAGAGGTGATCGACGTGCACAACCACGTCCGCGTGGTGACCGTGGGCATCACCTCCACCAGCCCCATCCTCCCACTGCCGGACGTCATGCTGCTGGCCCGCCAGGCCCCCGGCTGTGAGGAGCACTCGGGGCACGGCAAAGGCACCAGGGGAAAAGGCCACAAGGCCTCGAAGACCTTAGAGCTCACTAGGCTGCTTCCCCTGAAGTTCGTGCGCATGTCCGTCCACGACCGGGAGAAAAAACAGCTGCGCCTGAAGTTCCCCACCGGCCGCTCCTGCTACCTGCAGCTCTGCCCCCCTCCGGGTGCTCAGGAAGACCTCTTTGCCTGTTGGGAAAACCTTGTTTACCTCCTGCGACCACCACTGGACAGTAACCGTGGTCCCTATACCACCCCAGTGGGGGACAGGACATGCGTGCCCCTGTTGGAGGAAGAAACCAGGAGAGGCCTGGCAGCGGCCGATCTCCCAGGGAAAGAGGGTGAGGACCAGAGCAGCACCAGAAGCCTCTACCTGGGCTCTGAGATGGCTGAGGCCACCTCTGCAGCTTTTGCTGGGGGGCAGGGAATCCAAGGTGACTCCCACGGATTCTCGGCCAGGCCAGACGTAGCCGCCCCAGACCCCAAACCCCCAGAGCCTGACAAAGTGTCAGCGGCTGGGGCGGCAGCAGGCACCACAGCAGGCACTTCGGGCACAGCGATCACCGAGTCCGCTGCCCCTGAACAGCTATGCGTGGCCGTAGCCGGGGCAGCCACCCGGGATCCAGGAGGAAGCAGAACCAGCATAGCCATCGAAGGTGTTGCCAACATGTCCCCCGAGAGCATTAAAATGGCCTGGGCCGGTGCTGCAAACCGGCCCTCCGAGGGTGCTGCCAGCACCAGCCTCTCCTCAGAGACCAGCCTGATTGTTGCAACGGCAAAAGCAGAACCTGCCAGCGAGGCTGCCGAAGAAACAGCGAAGGGTCATCGTGCCACAGGGCCTCTCCTCTCGAGCTTGCCCAGGGAGGGTAGCGTGCATGAAGGGGCTGAAATGCAGCAGCAAGTGCCCCTGGCCAGTGCTGAAGCCCCAAAGAGCAGAAGGGATGGGAGACAGCAAAAGCAAAGGGAGAGAGCTCTCAGGAGTCCCCACCACCGCAGGGCGACTGAAAGCCACCACAAGCCAGGGGCTGACAAGATACTCCGAAAATCATCTGGTCGGTCCTTAGCCAGGCAGAGAAATGACAAGAAGGAGAAAGGCGGCGGCAGCCCGAGGGGCAGCCGGCCTGTCACCAGGCACAAAGGGGTCAGCCACGCTCCCGTCAGCAGGGACTCCAGGACCTCTGTCAAGTCGGGGAGTAACTGGTCTGCAAGTAGTTCAGGTTCCACAGCCCAGAGACTCAGCAGGATCAGCTCTTTCTTGAGGACCGTGAAAGCCAATCTTACTACAAAAACGGTGGCCTCACCACGTGGTAAGGACATGGACAATTCAACTAAGACAATGGACAGGAACACAGAGGCCATCACAGAGACAGGAGAGCATTGGCAGGGGCTGGAGAGGATTGACAGTGTGGCGTCTGAGGTCATGGATACCTGTGTTCTTTGACCCCTGTGGCTGGAACCCAGGACTGGAAGCTGCAGAGGGGACCTGGGCTCGGGGTAGGACCCTTGGAGAGCCCGTCCACCTTTCCTTACTGCAGTTTAAATAAAGATCGATACAGTCTGAATATAATCCATTCAGTGCTGCTTTCTGTCTGAGTGTCTATGTCCTATAGCCTAGTAGTGACCTCACAGTGGATTCCATGATGTCAACTGTGCTGCAGCCAGAGACCCCAGGATCCAGTCACCAGGAGCCCCACCTCTCTGCTGCTGGGCCTGGCCAGCAGGAGGGCTCCCCCTCGCCTCAGCCCCTTTCTGGTCTTGCTCCCCAGGGCCATGGCTGAAAACCAGACCATCCACCATCGCCCTGTCCTCTGTATAAATATCCCTTCCCCGCACCAAAGGTCCATAGGCAAAGCAAGAATAGGGCAAAGCAAGAATCCATCCCCTCAGGCCATTCAGGGAAGGGAAGGGGGTGCACCAGCACTGGCTGGCAGTCAGAACAGGGGGCATTCTCGTCTAGACTTAGCAACCCATTCCTAGGTATGGACCTTGGAGCAACCTAGCAGACTGTTTCTAGCAAAAATAATGTAATAGCAAAACACTGGAAACAGCCCAAATTTTCAGCAACAGAATTGATAATACAGTAGGATATTAGCACAGATAAACTCATAACTTTTTTTAAAGTCACAAAACAGGATATAATTCCACTTAGAGAACAGTTCAAAAACAAGACCAAACATGTACCCTGTATCGTCTGCTAAAACCAGTCAAAAATAGAACAGCAGACACGAAATTCGGCCCAGTGGTTTTCTTAGGGGGAAAGTTAAGAAATCAGGCTGCTGAGCACGGGCCATCAGTGCTGCTGGGAAGTGACCTATTTCCTAAGTGAAGCAGTGGGTACACAGGCGTTGTATTTTTTTCCGAACTGTAATGCTCTGAAATCGGAGATCCGATCACCATGGCAGTTGTGATGACATTACTGCCTCAGAGATACTGCAGCGGATGCCTTTTCCTGTATGTTCACTCTGATGTTTGCACAAAAGTACGCCTGAAAGGTCTAGTCTCTTTAAATTCCGCTGATTCTAGGTAAAGTGTGACAAGAACCCGTCTTTGTTATTAGGAAAGGAGGGAGTGAGACCTCTGTTTTACAGATGAGAATGCTGAGGCTGGAGAAGGTAAACTGCTTCTGCCCACTTCTCGTACAGCGCTGTCTCTGGCAGGGGCAGGAGGCGGAGCAAACAAATCTAAGGGGGTGGGGCCAGCACAGGAACCTGAGACATCAGCAGTCCTACCAACACGCTCCAAAACTCAAGGAGATGGGCACCGAATTCACAGAATGGAGGGGAGGGTGGGGTGCGGTTGCCAGGGAGCTAGCTGGGTTGCAGACTCCGGTGAACTCCCAGTGAGCGCGTAGCCTTTAGCTGGTCTTATCTCAAGAGGGGCCAGACCCCCCTTGAGCTGTGTCTGGCCCCCAGACTTCTGTCCCCAGCCTCTGGCATGACCTGCCTTTGCAGCCATAAAACAGACCACCCGCCTGGAGTTCCATGGTCCACTCCTGACGGGCTGCCTCTCTCTGCAACCCAGTCCTCCCCCAGCTGCTAATTAAACTTTCAAAAGCCAGGCTCGGAATGGTTTCTCTACACCACGTCTTCATGAACTTCTTCTGGGGTTCGGAAAACAAATCCTCACACTTCACGTGAAGGAAGTTATGGCCTAGGTCACAGCATCCTCGTTGCTTACGTCTTCACAGTACGTGACTCTCACGGACCTCCTCACAGGTCAGGGGTGGGAAGTTCTCATCTGTTGGTCCTGGGGGGGGGTGGCGGAGGGGCACGGCTGAGGCCTACATACATCCCCCAACTTCGGCAAAACAGATTCCTGACTCCAGGATGGGAAATTATTCTTAAGAGAGATGGGAATGTGCCAGAGGTTAGATATGAACTGGCCCTGTGAAGAAAACAACCTCAGAATCATTAACCCAGAGCTTCAGAGAAGCCTGGGGGCCTCAGGGAGACAGAATTAATGGTTTACTCCTGACCAGCTTTTCCCTGGGCTCGAGGTGGGGAATTTACAAAAAGATCACATCACATTCCTTTCACCTTATGATTTCCATGTAGGCAAGTGCAGGTAAACACTAATCTGGAAGGAAAAAAATGCAGTCAACACATGTGCAGAGCACTTGGCCTTTTATATTTTTTAATACACGTGCCCCTTTGGATGCTCACATCCTGCCACTTTGCAGATAAGCAAACAGGAATTAGAGCAATTAAAGGACTTGTCCCAGGCACCATGGTGCTGAGAGCGCAAAGCCAGGGCAACAGCTCTCATGTAGCGCCTACTATGTGCCATCCTGGGTCCCACACGGAGGTGCAGAGATGGGGGGCAGCAGTGACAGATATGGGGAGAGACTCGTGTTGGGGAACAGGAGCCACCAGAGGAGAGGTTCTGGGACTTGGGAAGGAGCTGTGGGTGGGGAAAGGTTTCTCAGAGGAATAGGGAGTTTGCCAGGTGCGGGAAGTGTGGGGAGCAGGGGGGGAAAGCGGGGGAGGTGCAGCGGAAGGGTCGGGAGAGCATCACGCCATGGAAAAGACGTGTGCAAAGTGCAAAGGCTCGAAACATCACGTTGTGTTGAGCAACTGCAAGTATTTCAGTATTGTTGGTTGGAGGGCCGGGGAGAAGCAGGCATGAGGCTGCAGGATCAGGCCGAAGGATCCCGGAGGTGTGGGGGTGGGATAGGAGCGGGGCGGGGCCGGAGTGCCGGGTCAATGTCCGGAATTTGGGGAGTCACTGATGGGAGTCGGTTGCTCTAGGTCCAGGGCGAAGAGTTCATGGACAGGGGACCTTGGAGACAGGGGATCCTCCAGGAAGCATTAATCCAGGTCAGAGAGGTGGTGCTGGGGAGACAGGAGCGGGCAGAGTCAGGGATTTGGAGAAATGGAAGAGGAGCATTTCCATCCCACGTCCTGGAGAACAGCACTCATCTGAAGGAGGTGGAAATGACCAAAGTGAATGTGCCTTCCCCTGCGGTGATTAGTGGTCAGTAAAGGGGGTGGCGAGAAGAGGGGCTCATGGGAAAGCAAAGAGGAATATGTCAAGATATAAAACAGTAGCTTCTAGATGGCAAAACATCAGGAGAAGCCAGCCAGCAGGGCTGTTTGGGAGCAGATGTCGGAGAGGAGGGAGCCCCTGAGCGGCTCCCCATGCCGGTGGGCAGGACGAGTTCTCACCCAGCCACCCTCGGACTGGCAAAGAGTCGCGGTGCGGCGCCCCTTGTGGCCAAGACTGGCTACTGCAGGTTGGTGCGTGAATGAGGGGAGCCTGGTCTGAGGCTGAGTCCCAGCCACCTTTCCCTTTGTCCCACCGCAGTTGATCTCATGCTAATCCCAGAGGTGTGAGTGGGCAGGGAAGGGGGCGGGTGGGGAAGGAGGATGTGTCTCATCCAGGCTGCGTGGCTCCAGGCCCCTGGCAGTGGAAGCACAGTCTGGAATAACCCACAAGACAGGTCCCCTGAGAGATGGGGAATCAGACGCAGGAGGACAATGAGAGACCACCAAGCATATGGGTGGGGTCTCTCCGCTGCCTGGAAGTTACTTGAGAAACAATTGTGGAGCACCTACTATGGGCAAGAGAGGAAATCAGGGACAACAAAGACGTTCACACGCACAGCCCAGTCGTGTTAACACAAGTCGAAGTGTTTGGGTGGCCTTGGGCAGACTTTGCAGGAGAGGCAAGGGCCCAGCAGAGGGACCATGGGCCGAGCGCTCCTGGCAGAGCTGGTGGCCTGGCAGAGAAAGAGAGGCATCTGAGAGAGGAGGAGCTTGGGTGATGCTCACGCACAAGACAAGTGCAGCTTCCCAGGATGTGATGTGCTGGGGGAGAAAGTGGGGTATGAGGGGGGACGGGGGGGGGGTAGGAAATGAGGCCGTGTCATGATGACAGAACCAGTAATGGGGCTGAGGGGCACAGGGCTGGCCTCTCCAGTGAAAGGACAAGGCAAGCCCAGACACGTCCCCTTTGCCAATCCAGAGAACTTGAAATGCGTAATGGAGGCTTGTGTCTTCCCGCACGGCCCCGTCCACGTAGATGTTTTTCCACAGGTGTGCCAAGGTATGGATATCGCTCATCCTGGGGGTGCCTGGGCACCGGGCCAGCCGGCTGTGGCTGTCCAGAGCCCATCATGCCAGCGTTGTCATTTTCTACGTGCGCTGCAGATGGCAAAAGGTCGGGAAGCACCTTTCTAGGTGTGCACGCAGGCACGCACAGCGCAGGCAGTGGGGTGAAGCACTAGGCGCCGCAGCAGCCTGGCGCGGCAGAGAAGCGCCTGCCTTGGTTGGCCGGCCGGCCCCAGGAAGCCTCGGCCGCTGCTGACCACATCACCCCATTTAACTCCAGGCTGGCCTGATGCCTCACTTGTAACCAGTGGAACAGGGTAGAAGCTGGGCTTCTGAGACTCAGTCAAAGCAGTGTCCCCTTGGTTATCTAGGGGCCTGTGCTCTGAGCATCCCAAGTCTGCTCCTTGTTGGATCTCTCCGGGTGACATCGTCATAGCCCCCAGGTCCCTGTCATTGTGCAACTTATACTGGTCCAAGGAGAAGTTAGAAAAATAAGAACATAGCAAATGTTCCATAAAACTTTCATAAATCTTAATTAGTTGTGTTTTTTAAGATTTTTAAAATTTATTTTTAAAGAGAGGGGAAGGGAAGGAGAGAGAGAGGGAATGAAACATCAGTGTGTGGTTGCTTCTTATATTCCCCCCACTGGGGACCTGGCCCTGACTGGGAATTGAACCAGCGACCATTTGGTTCCCAGGCCCATGCTCAATCCACTGAGCTACACCAGCCAGGGTGCTAGATTAGTTTGTTTGTTTTTTAAACCTATCCTTTGCTTTGAGATCAGGCCCTGCTTTCTGTTCTTAACATTTTGTTTGCCGTATAACATACCGGCAGAAAAGGGCACAAGTTGATGCTATTTCACAAAATGAGCGACCCCAAGTAGCCGGCCCCT